ATAAAATACAGTAGAATGTCTACTGGTTTTACCTGGAATAGGGTTTGTACAGTTGATTATGGTTAGATTGTAATGAATGCTCTTACAGTGATGATAACACTTTTTTAAAGAATATTATGTAATGAGCAGCTCTGAAAATCAGAAGATTAGAGATAATGCTAGATAATACACTTAAATATATATGTAATGTTACCACAATGAGGTAGGTAATGGTATTTATGATTAAGATGCAGTTGTGTCTGTGACACTGATATACTTAAGTACTGTTGTTTCTTAACACAAAACAATATCAGTATGCTATGAATACTATGAATGCTTACTAGTTAATGGATATGGTGGCTTAAGCCACTGCAAACTATTTGTTTACTTAGATATATAGCTATGATAAATATTGGCTGATAGCTAGGTTAGGCTAGAATATGTAAGAATTATTCCAATGCAAAATCAAGAAGTTTCTTATGTATTTGGCATTGAAATATTCGGTAAACGAATGATCATAAATATCTAGGTACAAAGGACCATTATTATCTAGGTTCGAAGGACCATTATTGTGGGAAAAACCTGCCGGGATTGATATAAGAGGAGACTACCAGGGACTTGTACTGAACTAAATTAAAAAATTACTGTCTGCAAATTAATTCAATTAAAATCTCTAGCTAGGGTTGTAAATCCTAGATCCTCTTTTCCTAATGACAGATTGTGGGCTGTAAGGGACAGGTGGGGTGAATGACTTAGTTGATAGAAGTTCCAATCCACCTGTAGACAGGGATCTCACATCAGCTTGTATTTTATACAAGGATAAGATTTGATAAATTCAGTTGTATGACTGAACACTGGCTCTGTTTAAATCAGGGATTTAAACATACATAGTCTAACCTAGCACCATAACTTACAGCCAATAGATTCTTATACTATAAACAACAAATTAAATTGTAAAAGTATAATAAATGACCTTAAATGTAGTCTAAACACTTAACTAAGTAACTACTAGAAATTATATTCAATTAAATGAACTTATATGATAACTTAAAAATAACTAAGCAAGCAATTGATAACTTAATTTATATATTCAAATATATATGCAGACATATTCAATTTATATGATACAGTTAGCTTGACTGAATCTTTTCCAACGCTATGGACACTTATGAGGTTTTTACTTATTGAGGCTGAATACTTTCTGGCACAATGGACACTCATGAGGTTCAGTGCTTGGATAAGATTCACAGCTACACTACAATTTTAATAAACGTACCGATGAATGAGGCTTTGCCTCGCTTTTTAACCAACAGACAGATTTATAGGATATTAAAGTTACACAAGCATACAATTGGCCAATCATACACCAAATAACCTTCAATATACTTCTCTGCCAGTCGGGGTGCCTGTCTGACAAGTTTGCCAGACTGATTAACTCTCTTGTTGAGTTTAGGCACGATATTTTGCTACAGCGTTGCTGTATGATGATCTGGTAGCGTTGCTACGTGATTATCCTGCAGTTGCAGAAGAATGATTCGAGATAAAAGTTTATGAATGAAGGTGGAGGAAACCGTGTCACTGATCTCCACTATACACTCTATTTTATGTAATGTTCCAGGATTTTCCTTGTAGATATTGTCCAGGTACTCCCCCAGTTCTAGAGAGTATTCACTGGCGATAAAAAATATTAGATAAGGTGTCCTTGAGCTGGTAATGTTCGCTAAGGATCAGTCACTTGTTCACTCATTTGTAAACAAACGCGGAGTGCCGCGGGCTTTGTTGGTGGGCGCTTCACTCCCCCCATCGCCCTCCCATGCTCTCTGTGCACGGTAGCCTTCTATGAATATTGATTGATTATTTTTACAGTCTAGACTTATGATTAAGATAAGATGTGATTATAATATAATTAGATATAAGATTTAAAGATTATAAGTAGTATTTGAAAGTACCACTGAATCTTATTAAGGATTCGATTTTTAATCCTACCGGATGTTGAATCAATGTTCCAATAGTTTTTTAATTAAGAAGTCCTTCTAGAAGCTTCTGGATCCTTGAGAGATCATGTACAAAGTCACGTAGGCATCAAAAGGGCCCCTGTTGCGTACGTGTTCATGGTGCCATTGTCATCCAGGATCAAGCTATATAATGCATTTTTCATGATTCTAATATGATTTTTGATACGATTTAGATATGATTTTGATATGATTTAGATATGATATAGAAATTATACATTTCTTAGATGATTATTAGATATGGTGGGTAAAAATTTCCCACAACGAGAGCCTTTCACACTAGAGATTCTATACCGATGATGATACTTTTCAAGATACTACTGCTCTCTAGAGAGGAATACTGCTCCATAATGACAGCTCCTTTCAAAGCTGGAAAAATTGCTGACCTGGAGAGCATGCAGAGATCCTATACTGCTAGAATCGACTCAGTAAAACATCTAAACTACTGCGACTGACAAAAGAGCCTAAATCTGTAATTGAGTGCAGGCGGGAGAGATACATAATAATTTACACATGGAAAATAATAGAGGGGCTGGTCCCAAACCTGCACACAGAAATAACTGCACATGAGACCAGAAGGCATGGCAGAATGTGCAGAATACCCCCGTTGAAGAGCAGAGGTGCAACAGGCACTCTGAGAGATAACTCTATCAACATCAGAGGCCCGAGACTGAACTCTATCAACATCAGAGGCCCGAGACTGTTCAACACGCTTCCGCTACATATAAGGGGCATATCTGGCCGACCCCTCACAGTGTTGAAGAGAGAACTTGACAAACACCTCCAAAGGATACCTAATCAACCAGGCTGTTACTCATACGTCAGGCTGCGAGCAGCTGCGTCCAACAGCCTGGTTGACCAGTCCAGCAACGAGGAGGCCTGGTCAACGACCAGGCCACGGGGTCACTGAGCCGCAAAATCACTTCAAGGTAACCTCAAGGTAAGGAGGTGCGGGCAGCCATTGTGGCTTACCTTTCGTTATGAGGTTCTGGAGTCGTCTGGCTAGCAGATTACCCTTTTTTTCGCTGGATGCTTGGGACACCTTCTGTCGTATCTGCATGCTGGCTGGAGTGGTGCGAGGCGTTGACTGTGGTCCAGGTTTACCTGGGTAGCGCACACTATAATGAGTGCCTATTCGCTCCTGCTCTTCTGCGTGATGTTGATGTAGTTCAGCTTTACGTGCAGGTTCCCTCTTTGTCGTCAGAGCTTGTGGCTGAGGACTTGCGCGCACGGGGCTTGTTGGCTTTGGTCCTGCGCTTCTTCTCCCTCCTTGAGCTCTCTTCAGATTGGCTTATTGAAGATGTAGAGGTGCTTGGGGTCGTTCCTGGTTCTAGTGCCTTGGCCTCGGCTGCTCGTGCGTCGTCTGCCCTTTTGAAGCTGTTTATGCTGATCCTACGGGATACGCTGTTGCGTGTTTTTGCTGCGCACCTCGCGTGTCGGTAGGTGGAACTGTCTTCCGCCTTGGCATCTGCTTGGACCCTGGCTCTAAGATTGTCTTCGTCCTTTTGTTCTATGTTGTTTTCTGCTTCTGCAGTCAAACAGTATTTGCATGTGGCTTCTTTCACCCACATCGACTGATGCCAAAAGTTAGGACTATCCCTGTCAGCCTAGATAGCTCTTGGGAACCTCCAGGACTCACCCAGAAAATGGTATTTCATTATATTCAACGCCGGTTTTTTCCTGTGATCAGGGAGCACATTTTAACAATCTTAGAAGGAAAAAATTAGTTTTTAATTTTTGTTTCTTGTGCCCAGCGGTGTTGTTGGCAATAAATTGCTGTGCCACCTAGGGGTTAAGGAAAAGAAGGTAGCGATTCAACTGTATAAATCAACGGTGTCCTCACTTAAAATATTGTATCCAAGCATGGAGACTGCATCTATAGGAGGACATAGCTTTGGAGAAAGTCAAATAACGAGCAACTAAAATCATTTCAGAACTTAATCAACTCTCATACCAAGCTCAGGTCCTCAGGGCTAACAACACTGCAAACCTGAAATAACCTGGAGGATTTCTTCAAAACTTTTAAAATACTGAACAATTTGGAGGATATTGATTCAAATAATTTCTTCAAAAGGTTAGATGTAACCGAAACAAGGAGCAATGGTTTCCAAGCTCAGTAAGCCACAATGTAGGACTGAAAACAGGAGATACTTTTTCACCCACAGGGTTATAAACCTATGGAATAGCCTACTCACCAAAGCTATTAATGTCAAAACTGTCAAATTTTAAAATTCAGCTGAAAAAAATTTATCATGGCAGATTGACAGATGTGACTTTTGACTAGCTGCCGACTTCCTGTCCTTGTCAAAGGCACTAGAGTGTTAGTGGCCCTCAGGTATGTCTATAAAGTTACCTATAGATGTTTAGCTCTGTAGTCTGAAAGTGGTGTTTTATTTATGTTTTGATGAAGAAGATATACTAGTGATCAGTTATTTTGTTGGTGATTATCACTTATTCTATGTTGTAAGTGTTGGATCTAGAGAAAAAATCATAGGCTTGTGCATTTGGGCAATCAGTGATATATACCAGGTATACAGTGTTTTAAGGATATAAGGAGTCCTAGTATACTGCCTTGGGATGTATTTCTATTGTTCTTGGAAATGTTGGAGAGGTGATGTTAATGATGACCCCCACATTGGTTTCTGTTATTGAAGTACAGTCTGATATAACTAAGACAGATGCCTTGAATTCCTTAGTACTGACATCTAAGCAGATCAGTGTTGGAAGATGGATGTGCCCAGTGTTCCTTGAATATTATATTCTGATTCTGCTATAGTTAATGCTATGGTAATTTAGTGGTTTCTTTTTACTTTTTCAAACTTGTATAATATTATCTCCTGCTGCTTCTTAAGCTACTTTGAAACATTTGAAGCAATTTTCAATATAGGTATATTTCTTGCTACAAATACAAACATTTTTAATAATTTTTCTTAATACAATTAGCATCAATAATCTCTTTCAAAGTTGGTGCAATTAATAATAATATAATTCTTACAACACTCTTTGCAGGGCTTGGAAGAAGATGCTGTTGACAGTGCCAGCAGACGATCCTCTCTCATTCAGACTCTGGGGCACAGTGATGCACAAGATACTCTCAAGCTCTATATCCGCCGTACATCTCACGACGAACACAAAGGTTTAGCTACACACAATAATAGTTAGTGTCACTTTAACCCTTGGAGCTGTGCCCCTATTTATGAGACAATGCCCTGGTGTGTGGGAAAACAGATATAAAAAAAAAATGCCTTCTAATATTGTAAAAATGCATTCCCTGATCATGGGAATATCTTGAGGTTATCTTGAGATGATTTCGGGGCTTTTAGTGTCCCTGAGGCCCAGTCCTCAACCAGGCCTCCACCCCCAGGAAGCAGCCCGTGACAGCTGACTAACACCCAGGTACCTATTTTACTGCTAGGTAACAGGGGCATAGGGTGAAAGAAACTCTGCCCATTGTTTCTTGTCGGCACCTGGGATCGAACCCAGGATCACAAGTCCAGCGTGCTGTCTGCTTGACTGACCGGCTCCCTAGCTAAATAAAGTTAAATAAAAAATCCAGCGTTGAATGTAATGAAACGCCATTTTCTGGGTGAGTCCCGGAGGCTCCCTGGAGCTATTCAGCTATCTAGGCTGAATGGATATGTATAACTTTCTGGCATCAGTCAATGCATGGAGTTCTTGCCTACCGGGGACCACGAGCCAGAACCTGGCCCCCTCTAGAGAGGCACGAGGAGCAATGGCCTATAGAGACCTCCCCCACCCATATGATTGGGAGCATTTTATGTCTGCCATCGACCGGGATAGGCACCCAGAAAGGTAGGCGCCCAAAAACAAACCCCTATTCTGGTAAACTATTGCAACCGAAGACCAAACAGGTGGACAGAACTCCCCAAACGAAAATTAGCTAACCATCATGATGTCATCATGTCGCTGCGCTGCCGTCTGCGCAACCCCCCCCCCTCCTCGGGAGGGGGAAGGGGGAGCCCCAGACCCCACTGTCGGCGACCCAACTATTAGTTATTTGGCTGGATGTCAAAAACGCGAAAAACACCGCCGACCGGAGGGAGGGAGGGATGCCGGGGAGCCTCCGGAACTCACCCAGAAAATGGAGTTTCATTACGTTCAACGCTGGTTTTCTGGGGGGAGCCCCTTCGGCTCACCGGAGCTAACTACCCGAAGATAAGGAAAAACCGGGGACTTACCTGGTTTACATAACCTGGTTACTTACATAAAGAATATTGCGCGTTATATGACAAAGTGTGCTGGGAAGATGGGACACCACGAGCGTAGCTCTTATCCTGTAACTACACTTAGGTAATTACTCAGGTAATTACACAAAGAGATTAGTGATTTTTTATATTTATTTAGTACAGTCTTGGTTTCAGCAGCCGGTTTGTTGGCAATGTAGTAAAGTGTTGTAGTAATTGAGATGAAGCCTGGAGCAAGGCAGAGAACTGAGTGAGGCCGGGGTTAGAGAACTCAGATGTGGTGTGAGTGTGTTGAGCGTAACGCTCTTGAGTGCGGGGGGAGTCGAGGAGCTCGAGTGCGGGACGAGAGCGTGGAAGCTCCATGAGACCAGAGTCTGGCTGTCTGCTCTGTGTCGAGGCTGAAGCCTCTTGTAGGATAGGAACTGCACACGTCGAGTGTTACAGTGTTACTGGTGAATGTTGAAGATATGTGGTATCTCTCAAGTGTCTGTACTGAATCACTCTTGGAGCTAGACTGATGATTCACTTACAATTGGTCATATTACCAGCCTTTACCTCACCTGACCATCCTCTAGCAGGTTGGGAAGAAGTATTAACTGTAATTAGTTCTACACTTGAGAAGAGGTATTAATTGTAATTAGTTGACTAAGTTGAATTATCAGACCCATCTCATTATCTGCACATAAGCTAATGAGAATATGGAGCTAATATTAACCCTATATGGAATGTAATATCTATTACATTTACTACAATATAAATTTAAGTATTTGAGATAAGTACAGTGGTACCTCGGAATACGAGTGACCCTGTATACGAGTTTTTTGGAATACAAGCTGGATTTGCTCGGAAAATTTGCCTCGGAAGGCGAGGGTTGCCTCGGAACACAAGGGTGTTGATACACGTCCAGGCCAACTAGCATGTGGTGGCACGGCGATTGTGCCTCAGTTTACCAGTGTCTTGTGGCCAGTGACTATCCCACCTGAATTCTTCACAAGGATTTACAGTTTTTTGTCGTTTTTTTGGCCATTTGAGCATAAAAGTTATTATATATCTTGCCATGGGTCTCAAGAAAGTCATTGGTAAGGTTCAAGCTAAGAAAATAGCTGTGAGTAGAGGCAGTAGAGAATGTCCCTTCTTGATTAAGAAAATGTGTGAAGTATGGGAAGAACTGCAAAGTTTTGTTGAAAAAACTCACCCAGATACAGCTGTAGCAGGCTGTTGCATTGACCTTTTAAATGACAATGTGATGTCTTACTACATACAAGTGTTAAGATGTAGGGAAAAACAAGTGTCTTTAGACAGATTCTTAGTAAGACAAGCAAGTCCTAGTGGTATGCAGGCAAAATGTGCCAGAGTGTGCACACCAGTGAAGTCCTCACTGCCTGATGTTATAATGGAAGGGATTAATTCATTTTCCATTATTTCTTATGGGGAAATTAGTTTCGGATTACGAGCTGTCTCCAGGAACGGATTAAACTTTTAAACCGAGGTACCACTGTACAGTATTTCTAAAACCTGGCTGCTCTCCAGGTTTTAAAAGACTGCATATATAGCTCTTGACAAATTACAGATGTCATTGCAGTACAGTACAAAGCAATATATTTCTAATTAAAATATTTTTTAATTTATTCAACATAATGATATTTAAATGTTTAAAGTTGGCAAAGATCGTAAATAAATGCAGAAATGAATGCATACCTACACAATAATTTATATTTGTAATTTAATGATTAATAAATCGTGTTATAAATAATTATTGCAACTTCATACAGCACAAATATTTTTGGATAATCAATATACAGGCAGCATTCTTATATAATGCCAGAAATATTCACCATAGACTACTGCAGTACTATAATATATTTTCTTCACTGCATCATTACAGAAAATAGTGAGAGCACAGACAAGGACACAGAGCACCTTCAGGAAAGCCCTCCTCGCCGTGGGTCTGCTCCAGCAGCTTCCCCAGGAGAAGATTCATCCATCAGCAGGTCAGAGCAGCTCCTCCAGAAGTACAGACATTCTGTCGATGTCTCTGCTGATATTCTACGTTCTATTGAACAGGTAGGAATTGATTTACACTCGTGAATTTTATCCAAAATAAATACTGAATTTTTATGCAGCAAGTGATTATTGAAAGGGGCACTAGGTAAGGTTGGCAGAGAGGGAGCTTCAACCATCTTTTTGCATAAACTCTAATATATATGTAAATCTTATCATTTTTAACAATTCTTCTGTTAATAAACATTCCAATTCTCCGATATTTTATGATGCTGTATTTTCAGTGAAATGACTTAGACATGCTTGTTTGCTTTGAGGAAATGATGAAAAATTTATATTATTAAGTTGTTGGTTGATGCAAATTTGCCCCCCTTCCTTCCCCATAAAGCTCCTGGCATACAAAACATTGTAATTACAGTTTGTCTTAATTTATTTATGATAGAAGTGTGGTTGTGTATAAATTATGAAGGGAGGGAGATGGGGAAGTAGGCAGTTGGCATCGATCATGGTAATTGCTAGTTAGTGTATTTTTTTTTACTAATACAGGGGAGGTTATCTTGAGATGATTTCAGGGCTTTAGTGTCCCCGGAAGTTTAGTGTCTGGGGGAAGCCCCTACAGCTTCCCGGAGGCTGATATGCTAATGTCAGACTTTGGCATCAATCATGTGTATGGAGTTCTTAGGCCTACCGGGGACCATGGCCAGAACTGGGCCCCCTTAGAGAGGCAAGGGGAGCAATAGCCTATAGAAACCCCCCGTGTGGTTGGAAGCATTCTATGTCTGCCATCAACCGGATAAGGCACCCAAAAAGGTAAGCGCCCCAAAACAAACCCCTATTCTGGTTAAAATTGCTACCAAAAGCCGAACTAGTGGATATAACTCCCCAACAGAAAACAAGCAAACTAGTGTGACGTCACATGTCACCGCGCCGCTGTCTGCGCAGCTCCTCCCTCCCCGGGAGGGGGAAGGGGGAGCCCCCAGACCCTTCATGCCAGCTACCCACACCTCAGTTCTGAGGCTGGATGTCAAAAACACGAAAAAAACGTCGACCGGAGGGAGGGAGGGCTGCTGGGGAGCCTCGGGACTCACCCACAAAATGGCGTTTCATTACATTCAACACTGGTTTTCTAGGGGGAGCCCCGTTGGCTTCCCGGAGCCAACTACCCACAGACGGAAAAAGATGGACTTACCCGGGAGGTGGTCGTCGCTCATACCTCAACTCAAAGTCGAAACAACTGGCTGCAACCGCCGGCCCAAAGCAACACAGGCCCGACAGGGCCCATTGACATTCACGAGGTAACGAGCAGCCAGGACCCTGTTCGACCACCAAAAACCCCGCGCTTGAATATCAGACCAAGACATATTTCCAAAGACGGCAGCAAGAGCCGCGAATTTACAGACGTCATGGGCACGGGGTAGACCGCAGGCTGGCTGGATTTGATGACTCTGTGGACGATCTGAGAGACCCGAACCCGGGAACAGGGAAGAAGGGAAACCAGATCAACCCAAAGCGCGTCCCCGGACACAGAAGGAATTGTGTCCAGGGAGTATACTTCTGGGAGTAGAAGAACTCCCAGAAGCCGGTATTGTATCCAAACTATACAGTGGCCACCATACACTGCATGAGAATTCACACAGCAGCCAGCAGACGATGCTACGAGTACATCTCTTCCCTCACCAAATTAGCTCCTCCCAACATACTCCTGTTGCTGTTATTACACTATATACATTGTATATACCCATGTACAAATGTGTTCACCATAGCAAACCACTAAGCTAGTATGGTGAGCAAAACAAGAGTGGCAGCCACACACACAGTGAGGCTACCTTGATTCTCTCCCTCACTCCCACACCACAATTCCTCCTCCCACAATACTACGCACATATGTACATGGGTATATACACACATTGTATATACACACATTGTATATACACACATTGTATATACTCCCCAAGCCTGGCCTTGGGCCGGGCTTGGGGAGTAGAAGAACTCCCAGAACCCCATCAACCAGGTATCAACCAGGTACCCATGTACATATGTGTTCACCATAGCGAACCACTAAGCTGGTATGATGAGCAAAACAAGAATGGCTGCCACACGTACAGTGAGGCTACCTCGATTCTCTCTCTCTCGCTCCCTCACCACAATTCCTCCTCCCACAATACTACGTACATATGTACATGGGTATATACACACATTGTATGTACCCATGTACATATGTGTTCACCATAGTGAACCACTAAGCTGGTATGATGAGCAAAACAAGAGTGGCTGCCACACATACAGTGAGGCTACCTCGATTTCTCCCGGCTCCCTCACCACAATTCTTCCTCCCACAATACTACGCATATATGTACATGGGTATATACACACATTGTATGTACCAATGTACATATGTGTTCACCATAGCGAACCACTAAGCTGGTATGATGAGCAAAACAAGAGTGGCTGCCACACACAGTGAGGCTACCTCGATTCTCTCCCTCCTTCCCTCCTCGCCACAATTCCTCCTTCCACAATACTACGCACAGTGCTTATTATCACCACAATCCTGCTGTTATCACAATACTGGTCACTAAATCCTGTAAATGAATTATTGACCACAAGTTTATTTTGTAAAGGAACCTAGGAAGTTGTTTGAAGATTCCTACATGGACGAAATAATGCTGTGGTGCTGTGGCTAGCGCTGTGAACATCGTGAACATCATTAAATCACTGAAATTTGAACATTGTACACATTCATTATCACACTCAGGCTCTTCTGTAATACTATCATGGCTAAATAATACAAGTTATATATTTTGACATTATTAATTTAACACTTTCATCTGGCGATGACTCAGCATTGAGTCCTCCGTAAAACAGGGGCATGTCCGGCGAGGACTCAGCATTGAGTCCTCCGTGCGGCAATAGTAGCGGCATTTTTGGGAAGATTTTGCCATGGTTTTGGATATTATATGCATATACACCTGTAAGGAATTTCATTGTGAGTACATTGATACCAAAATGAAAGACCTAGGACCAGAATTGAGGTAACAAAGTTGAAAACAGAATACCCATTTTATTGCTCTTTATTAGCGCTCACGGGGGTAACGCTCTGTCACTTTCTCTGTTTGCTGTGGGTAACCTCAGGCTTTTGGACTTTATATTTGCATATACGCCTGTAGGGAATTCTATTGCGAACACTGATACCAAAATGAAAGACCTAGGACGAGAATTGAGATGTCCAGAGTGTAGAGTGTGCACATTTTATTGCTCCTGCGTGCTCCCGTGTAGCACGCTCTCATTTTCTCACTTTCTTGCCAGGCTTTTGGGCTTTATATGCATTTAGTCCTGTAGATAATTTCATTGCGAATATATTGATACCAAATTGAAAGACCTAGGACCAGAATTGAGGTAACAAAGTTGAAAACAGATTACCCATTTTATTGCTCTTTATTAGCGCTCACGGGGGTTAGCGCTCTCTGTCACTTTCTCTGTTTGCTGTGGGTGATACGCTGGACTTTTGGACTTTATATTTGCATATACTCCGGTAGAGAATTCTATTGCGAACTCAATGATACAAAAATGAAAGACCTAGGACGGGAATTGAGATGTCCAAAGTGAAGAGAGTGAAGTGAAGCGAAGAGAGAGCTCTTGCCCGCTCCCGGGTAAGAAACTCTCACTTTCTCGCCGGGCTTTTGGGATTTATATTCATTTAGTCCTGTAGAGGATTCTATTGCGAACACATTGATACCAAATTAAAAAACCTGGGATGAGAATTGAGATGACAAAGTTGAAAAAGTATACACTTTTCAGAATTACTGCTCTCTCTAATGTAATGAGAGGCACTTAGGGTGGCGCGGCGCTCTCTTTCTGGTAACCACAGCCTGTTTTCATCATGTCGACGGGTGGAGATCGCTGCTGTTTTTTATATTATATGCACATAGGCCTGTTGGGAATTCTATTGCAAACACATTGATACCAAAATGAAAGACCTAGGACGAGAATTGAGCTGACAAAACTGAAAAGAGTGAAAACATTTTATCACTCTTGTGCGCTCCCGGGCAACTTTCTCTCACTTTCTTTGTTAGTTGCGGATGGTAAGCCGGGCTTTTGGAGTTTATATGCATTTAGTCCTGTAGAGAATTCTATTGCGAATACGTTGATACCAAATTGAATATCTTAGGGCGACAATTGAGCTGACAAAGTTGAAAAGATTATACACTTTTCAGAATTTAGCACACTCTCCCTCGCACTCCCGCAGAACGCCCAAGCCCACCTGAGGTAGTGGGGAGGTCCCGCGCCCGGTGAGCGAAAGTGTTAGGCAATGCTGTGGTCACAAGCTGAACAGTAGTGCTGTGAGCTCATGCTGAGTGTGCCGATCTTGGTTGCTCACTCAGTACTGAGGCTCTCACACCCGGAAATGTGGCCCACGATTTTTTTTAAAGATGGCGTCTGTTTACAAGAGCCCTGAGGAAGCTGATGTGAACCCCATGTAGCCGCGGGAGTTTTGAATGGAACACTAAAAATATAAATACCCGGAGGCACGTTGCGCACCCCAGACGTGGGCCCGCAGTTAAGGGTTAAATATGATAAATTGATTTGAAGAACCAGATTAATTTTAATCTGTTAAATAAAGAACTGATAAATCAGTGTTGCTCTATACTGTAGAATAATTTAATACCAATGATAACATCACTGATAGTGCAATATCAATGAGAATATTTACGAGACATGATATCACTAATAATAAATATTATTTTTTAGGCTGAATCCACACCTGGACGTGGTACTGAAGAGGGACGTCGGGAGAAACGAGTATACCAGCGCACCATGACTCCCTCCAGCCTGCGTTCAGCTCTTCAGCAGCGTTTAAAGGACAACCTTCAAGCAGCCCATTTAGCTGGCACCATCCGTTCACTGGGGGATGATACTACTGAACAACTGGATGAGGAGGATGAAGAAGAGGAAGCAGAATCAAAAGATGAGAACCGAGAAGACCAAAAATTGTTACCACCATCTATTCCCCGCCATCTTCGTAGGCCTTCACGTGAAGAGGGAAAGTTGGACAAAATAGAAATTGATGCTGAGAATATTGAGACACCACCAGTAACCCGAAGAGCATTTGGAGTGAGAAGTTTTCGCTCACCTTCTGACTCACGCTGGTTAAATTCCAGACAAGAAGAAAGTGAGGATCCTGATGGGCGTAGAGTAGGTCGCCGGTTTCGGACTCTAACAAATGAGGATCGTCACAGCACTTTGGGAGAGAAGAAGTTATTAGAAGGAGAGGTCATTAGGCAGCGTCTCCACTCAGGAGTAGATAGTTCTGAAAATGAAGGCGCTGGTAGTGAGATTGAGGAATGTGGAACAGCACGCCGGTCTCAGCGTTTCAAACGCCTAGCTGACCTTGCTAAGGATGGTGACAGTGAAACAGAGCAGATGCTTGCAAAGCAGAAAGACCATCCAGCATCCATAGTTGATGATGATGGCCTGGGTGATGGACACTTTGAACGCTTTTCATCAATTCGTAAAACACTGAGACATAAAAAGGTGCAAGACAAATTAGAATCCAAGCCAAATGATGATCATATAGAATCTGATGCCCGAAGAGGAGGAAGTATTGGAGTTCCCCAATTAAATTCAACTTGCCCAGAGAGTTCTGGAAAAAGTTCTCGTGTACCTCAGGAACATTTGGCTTGTGAAGAGCCCACTGTAGAAAAAATTCATACCAATATACAACAAGCAGAGACAAGTGATATAACTCGGGAAAGCTATGAGGATAAAGATAGTCGGCTAAAACGATGGCAACATATTAAAGAGACAAAAACTGATAATGAAGAACGTGGAAGCAAGTCTCGAGAAGCAGATTCATGGAAGGATCGTCTTACTCGTCGTTTCAGATCCAGTGTAGAAAAGTATGATGTTCAACGAGCCACAGATGACCACAAGAGTAAGAGTGCAAAAGATGAACTTAAACCACCAACATCTGAACGACTGTATCGAAAAAATAAGGACAGTGTAGCCCGAGGCCTAGAGACTCGAGGTTCCTTTAGAGTCTCTAGTGGTACTAGTGATGCACGGAAAGATCGCAGAGAACGTGCACGAAGTGCTATTGATCCAGCTCAAGTTCGCCAAGCTTTGGACAAGGAAAAGGAGAAAGATAAGAAGCGATCAGTGTTTGGTGATCCATCTAGGGGAGTTGGAAAACTGTTCTCCAAGCTGGAAAGTAAAGAGAGTAAGGAGCCTTCAAGTCTGCGTCGTGGTGATGCAAGAACAAGGTCACTTTTAGATACACGAACTAGAAATCGCATTCGCGGCAACTCCACAATTAAGGATGTTGATGAAGGGTTTGAGGACACTGGTAGCATCAAGTCAGAAACAACAAGCCAAGGAGCATCATCTACAGGTGATGTGCCTGATGCCACTTTAGAAACAACACATGGAGCACCGTCATCAGTTAATAGAAAGAATCACAGTGATCTGAGAGTTGAGAACCGCATTGGAAGTTTGCGGTGTCGACCAGATGAGCGAAATAGTTTAAGTGCCTCTAAAAAAAGTGAGAAATCAGGTTCTCGCTCCAGTCTTCTGTCTTCACGTTCATCATTAACTTCTGCAGCTTCAGTGAACACTGTTCGACCTGCAAAGCCTCCATCAAAGTCACCTAGCACTACCAGCATGATCAGTAATAAATCTGACACAAGTAATCGGGCTCGTGGGAAAATGAATGACTACACTTCTGCACTCAAGAGTTTGACCTTTAAAAGTTTACGAATGAACCGCAGTAATGAGGAGGAATTTGAGACCACTCAAAGTTCGCCTTGCAGTCCTAAGGGTGAGGATGTTCAACCACCATCATTTCCAGATGACCGAACAAGGTCCTCAGGTTCCCTTCACAGTTCTGGAGGAGTCACTCCAAGTCGGCCACTCTCTCGAGCTGACTCTACACGTTCTACTGGCTCCATCAGTAAACAATCAAGTGAAGGTTCTTTTAAACGTGGAACAGTGCCAAATACTAAGTCATCAACACGTATCACCAATAACAACAATAGAGTAAAGCGTCCACTTGCTCCTGCTCAGATTCGCACTCTTGCCACCACTGATAATCGCATTCGAAGTATAAGTGGCTCCAGTGGGTCTCTGCGTAAGTCACCCAGCTCTACGCCAAATTCTTCAGTTAAAGTGAAACGTGGAGATTCTGGAAGCTCAAAGGAAAATCTGTCACGGTCCAATTCTGGCAACAGTAGGGCTGGAGGCACTTCCCGCACCACTTCTCGTTCTACTACTTCAATATCAAAGCCCCTTGCTGATCGTTCAGCTAGCTTCCGCACTTCACCCCCCAAACCGGAATTAGGATCTAGGAGATCTACTGGTAGTACTTCAAATAAGAGTAGCTCCCTAAGAAAAGGAGGAAGTCTTCCAGCATTCATGCGGCCCACCACATCATCATCTTCCAAAGTAAGTGCAACAGATGCTCCACCATCTACCACCCCAATTAAAAAGGTGAAAGTAGTATCTCGCAATATAACACTTTCTACACCTCGACCAATAGTTAAATAATGTATATAAACCAGATAAGCTATGTCGTAATGTCTTGAAAGACAATCCACTTATAGGATACTTGAAATTCACTGGGTAAAGAATATCTTCAAAATTGTGTACCATTAGCCTGTGAAGCTATGCTTTGAAGACAGGCATAAAAAACACTGCATTTGTGATGTGCTTGCCCATGTTAATAAATATGCCAATTATCCTAACTACTGTCTCTTAATGTGAAGTGACCTGTGAAACTGTGTGCCATGATTGTCTTAATGTTATGTTGGTCCCGTCAGCTTCCCGGGTACGATTGAACCTTGCTGTTATTGAAAACTTCATCTGAACTATGTTTTTGACATTATTTTGTGCAGCTACATTATGTAGCAAAATGTTAAGGAAACTAATCCTACCCAAGTTAAATTATCATCCCTTGTATATATCCAAATAAACATAACCCAAGTTAAATTATCATTACTTGTAAATATCCAGATACACTATTGCAAGATTACCATCAAACATTTTGCCTTCACACCCTCTAAATATATAGTACTATATACCTGATGGCATATTGGCTAGGTTCATGTACCTTCATAGTTAAACTAAATGGGTGATGTTTTGCCCATTTTTCTGTAATTACTAATGTAAAAATTACTTACCCCTTCAATACTGTAATTATTTTGGCATAAGTTTTGTTAAGAAAGAGATATGCCAAAATTTATCTATATCTTTGTAATATTTTTACATTAATCATTACAGTATCTCTTGCTATCAATTATGTTTCCTAAATGAACTCTCATAAAGATGTAGAGCTGATTACATTTTGAAATTTATACTGACATAATTTTAGCCAAAAAATGGTAACAGTGTGAGTAATGTAAGATCACACTTTACCCATAGAATTTGGTATGGTAAGTGTGAATAATGCAACCTCACACTCCTCAGTCTGTGATGCATCCCTGTGAAATAATAATCAATATAAGTTTTTAATTAAATGATGTTAAGCTTGGAGAAAATCCAAGTGTGCGCATTAAGCTTGGAGCTAATGAGTACTTAAGGTTAAGTGTATTTACCTGCTACCTTGCCTCTAACCACAGAGGCCCCATTAGCATCATTATTATATTCTATGAATTTGGACTTCATTTATTACCACAATTTGTGTCCTAAGGTTTTACTTAGTCTGGCCCTACAAGTTCAGTGACTAAAACGGTTGTGTGATTTAAATGAAGAATTGCTATGCCTTGTCCAAGTTAATGTACAGTTATAATGTTAATTTATCGGACTAACGGCTTGCTTTATAGTGTTTGTCGCTGTTGCTCCCAAGCTGCTGTGCCTTAATGTTATTGTGTGTCTGTTTGCTCTAACACTATCTTGTATAGCATTTATCTTTAAGGAGATTAATTTTTATACTATGGTCTTAAGCAATACTGTAATTCATGCTTGTAATTTTTGTGTGTTTAGATTTTCTTATGATATTGTCTAAATATTCTGTACATAGAATTTAATATATCAGATAAAGCAAGAATACATTTATCTTCATGAATGTACTTCTGCATAGATATATTTCAAAAATTTGCTTTAAAATCAAAATAATTGCTTTGCCAAGTAGGCTACCCATTCTAACTCAAATAGGCAGTTTAAACTGCCGATTTTTATAATTATTTGTAAATACTGTATAAGCTAATTTACAATTTCTTTCACATATATTTTTAGAATATTCCTTAGGCATTTTATGATTCATGAAGGTGCTTGTAATTTTCATAAACAGTCAGGCTTCTTTGTTATTTTAAGAGTCCATTGTGGCATGCCCAGACCTCAGTCATATAAGTTCCTGGCTGAAGAGGTTGTACTTAAATGAGTGTTTCTGTAATTATCTTGTCCATATGATCCATGTTATATGTTACATAATATTGGTGTGTGTGTGTGTTTATATCTATCCATCTATATACAGTGGCACCTCGACTTATGACAGCCCCTACTTACGAATTTTTTTAATTACAATGTAAATTTTGTCGGAAAATGTGACTTGACTTACGATCTTTGCCTCGACTAACGACTTTGTTGATACGCGTATGGGTCGACCGATTGCGTGGTTCCTGGTGGCATGGCCGACCCCTCCTCAGTTTACCAGAGCTGCCTGCTTAGTGACGATCATGCTTGTAAAGAATTTCATTATTTTTGTGCTTTTTTGTTTTTTGAACATAAAAGTACTTATTATATATCATGCCATGTGTCCCAAGAAAGTCAATGGTAAGGTTCAACCTAAGAAAACACATATGAGGATGACCATAGAGGAAAAACAAGAGATCATTCATAAACATGAAAATGGTATAAAGGTTGTTGATGTAGAGTAGAGAATGTCCCTTCTTCATTTATTTAGAAATTGTGTGCAGTAAGGGAAGAATTGCAAAGTTTTGATGAAAAGTGTCACCCAAATCAAGCTGTAGCTGGCCATTGTGTTAACCTTTTTAATGTCAATGTGAGGTAACACTTCAGACAAGTGTTACAATGTAGGGAAAACAAGTGTCACTAGACAGGTTTTTATTGAGAAAAACAAGCAGTGAGTCACAAGCAGGTCCTAGTGGTATGCAGGCAAAACGTGCCAGAGTGTGTACCCCAGAGAAGTCATCACTGCCTGATGTTATAATGGAACAGGACTCCCCTTCCAAACACTAACACCTCTCCTCCTCCCCCTCCTCACCATCTTTCATATGCCAACAAGAGTCCTCATTCAAGGTGAGATATACATACAGTACTGTATTGTAGCTAGTACAAAAGGAGTGTTATTCACTATAAAATGGATTTTTAAATTAATATTTTTGGGGTGTGGAACGGATTAATTCAATTTACATTATTTCTTATGGGAAAATTTGTTTCGACTTACAAATTTTGACTTACGACTTGTCTCTGGAAACGTATTAAATTCATAAATCGAGGCCCCACTGTATATATAAACACAATGTTTTTGTCTGAACAACTTTATATCTGCAGACATTAAATTTGTTCACATATTAGATAGTTATTTATAATAAACGGCAACTGACCTCAGATTACACTATTAACTACAGAACTTCAGGAAACAAATTGTTGACAAATATTAACTTCATGCAAACTTTACCATCTCATGAAAAACAGGTGAACATAGATCTTACATTCAAAATATACTGGGTCATAAAGAATGGTCCATATTAATTTTCTGCCAAAGTTGATCACCTGGAAAAGGTTTGAAATTAAGAGTCAGAAAGCATGAATGTAGTTGGGTCATCTAGAAATTTTGCTCTGCACACTAAAAGTATATATTTAGATGTATAAAAACAGTAAAAACTGACACATGCATTTCTTATTTACTGTGTAAACATTGTTGTATGTATAAAAGTTATCCATGATTCATTGAACAACTTTGAGTCAGTTTTCATTGAAGAATATTTATTAATAGTGTGGGTATCAGGGTATTCCCCCCTATGCTCCTACTCATTATTCTCTATATACACTACCAATAATTCAGTAACTAAATCAAACCACTGTAAACAAATATATTCATACCTATTTGAATATATTTGATGCTTTACTTCTGTTCAGTCAGGTCTTAACACATTTGTATTTATTTTACAAGGTACTAATGTTATTTAACCTTAGCAGTTAACTTGAATTATCTTTTTTATATGCAATTTCAGAGTTAATGTAACTATATACATTTTTAGAATACAATAAACTATTACTTTGACGCACGTTTATTTAAATTGTCCCCATTACTACATTGTTCATTATTATAAATTTAAATATTTGCATATTTTATGATGAGTAAATCAGTACAAATTCTTGTTTTTTTATAAATGGCTTAATTCAAATTCAAATGTTTATTCAGGTAAAGTACATACATACAAGGTGTGACACAAAACATTGATGGATTTATAGATAGAGCTAGTATATACAATGCCTAAAGCCACTATTACGCAAAGCGTTTTGGGCAGGAAAAGCACTAAAGACAAACTTAATACTAATTGCGATTAAAGTACAAATTGTCTTGAGAAAATAAAAAAATAAAAAAGGGGAACATGGCAGAAAAATAGCAAACATACAATTTGGTCGACAAACAGCATTGTTTAAAATAGCAGAAATGGGTTGACATTTTAGGGGTAAGGTAGGTCAAGATTGGCATTACAGTTCAGCATTTTATTATTTATTTATTTATTTATTTATTTATTTATTTATTTATTTATATACAAGAAGGTACATTGGGATTGTGAGGATACATAGCATAGTAATTACATTCTTGTAAAGCCACTAGTACGTGCAGCGTTTCGGGCAGGTCCTTAATCAAAGAAACTTATAAGTAGGTAAATACCTGCAAAATTTATAATAATAATAATAATAATAATTTTTATTTAGGCAAAGGTACATACATAAAGAGATTTTACAAAGTTTGTTGGCTTTATAGATAGAGCTAGTACATACAATGCCTAAAGCCACTATTACGCAAAGCGTTTCGGGCAGGAAAAAAACACTACTGACTAAAGCTTAAAACTAATGGGTAAAAAGAAAAAAATGCGTTGAGTACAAATAAAAAAAGAGGTAAAAGAGGGGGGAACATTGTTGAAAAAAACAGCACAAATAAAATTACAAATTATTACAGAAAATTACATTAAAACAGCGTTGATTTGAAAAAAAAAAAAAAACATACATGGGTTGACAATAGAGGGGAAAGGTAGGTTACAGGGAATTTATTAGGTATAGCTTCGTTTTTAACTTAAACTGGTTGAGAGAGGTACTGTCTTTAACATGGTTGGGAAGGTCATTCCACATTCTGGGCCCCTTGATTTGTAGAGCATTTCTGGTTTGATTAAGTCGTACTCTAGGAATATCAAAACTGTATTTATTTCTGGTGTGGTGCTCATGGGTTCTGTTACAACCTTCTATGAAGCTTTTGAGATCAGGATTGGCATTACAGTTTAGCGTTTTATATATGTATAATACACATGAGAGAATGTGCAGTGACTTAATGTCTAACATATTCAGGGATTTGAGTAGGGGTACCGAGTGATGTCTGGGGCCAGAATTGGATATTGTCCTAATAGCAGCTTTGTGTTGAGTAATTAGAGGACGTAAGTGATTTTGGGTAGTAGAGCCCCAAGCACAAATACCATAGTTGAGATATGGATAGATAAGGGAGTAATAGAGAGTCACCAGGGCAGGGCGTGGTACATAATATCTAATCTTAGAAAGAATGCCCACCGTTTTTGAAACTTTTTTTGATATGTTTAGAATGTGTCCCTGGAAATTCAGCTTGTGGTCAATGAGAATGCCAAGGAATTTGCCATCTAATTTGTTACAAATTTGGGTATTGTTTATTTTGAGATTTATTTGATTAGAGGATTTATTGCCAAACAGAATATAGAAAGTTTTGTCAATGTTAAGGGTGAGTTTGTTGGCAGTTAGCCACAGATGGACTTTATTTAGCTCAGTATTTACTGTGGCATTTAGAGCAAGGGGATCAGGACTGGAGTAAATGAAGGTTGTGTCGTCAGCAAATAGGATTGGTTTGAGGTGTTGGGAGGCATTTGGAAGGTCATTAATGTAGATGAGAAAGAGGAGAGGGCCAAGTATGCTGCCCTGGGGAACACCAATGTTGATGGGTAGGGTGGGAGAAATTGTATTATTCACAGAAACACATTGGAGTCTGTCAGTAAGGTAGGATTTGAGGTATTGTAGGGAGTGTCCTCTGACTCCATAATGATGTAATTTAAGAAGAAGGTTTTGGTGGTTGACAGTATCGAAAGCTTTACGCAGGTCCACAAATAACCCAACAGGGAACTCATTTTTATCAAGAGCTGTATGAATCGAGTTAAGCATACTAATAAGTGCATCGTTAGTGCTTTTTTTGGGCCTGAAGCCATATTGGCAAGGGCTAAGAATATTGAGTTTGGCTAGATATGAGTAAAGCTGCTTATAGATTAGTTTTTCAAAAATTTTTGACAAGTTTGGCAGGATTGATATAGGTCTGTAGTTGTTAACATCTGTGAGATCACCACATTTGTGGACAGGCGTTACTCTCGCTTTTTTAGAATATCTGGAAAGGTTTGGAGTTCAAGTGACTTGTTGAAGAGCAAAGCAATAGCAGGGGCTAAAGATCTGGAGGCTTTTTTGTAGATTAAAGTTGGTATCTCCTCAAGGGCACCAGACTTGGTTTTAAGGGAAAGGATTATCTCATTGACGTCAATGGAATTAATAGGCTTTAGGTACAGAGACTGGGGATAGTTCCCTGTAAGATAGTCCTTAATGTCAGTACTGAAGATGGAATATCATTAGCAAGGGATGAACCAATGGAAGAGAAGAACCTATTGAACTCAATAGCAGAATCAGAGGCTGAAAGCTGACCATCGTTATTAGACAGGAGAGTCGGTTTGTTATTTAAAGACTTCTTTGATCCCAATATTTGTGAAATTGTTCTCCATGTTTGTTTAATGTTGCTCTTTATTTGGGTAAATTTATCTTCGTAGTATTTAGTTTTGGCTCGTCTAATTATCTTAGATAGCAATAATGAGTAATTCTTTGAGAATTCTTTGGAGACAATTCCTAACCTATACTTTTTCTCAAGGTCATGTTTTTATTAATAGATTTAAGTATTCCCTTTGTAAGCCAGGGATTGTTAAGCCTTTTGGTTATGACTTGTTTTGTAAGCATAGGACAGTGGGTATTATAAAGGGGTATATAAAAATACCAGTGGGTATATAAAAATGATAACAGTTACATAGCATGAAAACATAAAAGATGAGAGAAAAATTGTAGGTATATTAAAGCACATAGGTAGCTCAGAATGACTGCAATGACAGCTTGAATGGTAGTTTAACAAAACTTAGCAGGCACAATACAGCACATAAAAGAAGACAGCAATGAACACAATGATAAAGTTGTTTGGATTAAGTACATAAAGATTGGGAGATTGGGTAACACTAGATACTGAGCAAATTTAAAGCTCAGTGTAGGAAACTACGAAGATGAAATTAGGTACTTTTTGTTTATGTTTTTAAACGAGGCAAAAGTTTGATAGCTTTTCCATTCACTAGGGAATGAGTTCCATAGACTAGGTCCCTTAATTTGCATAGAGTGTTTACACAGATTAAGTTTGACCCTGAGGATATCAAATACTAATAATATATATATTATAATAATACAAATACTA